CTCAAGTTGTAGCATGAATCAGTATATCTTTCCTGTTTATGGCTGAATACTATTCCTTTGTATGTACACACAGTTTGTTTATCTGTTCATCTGTTGGTGTCATTTTGGGTTGTTTCCATCCTTTGGTTATGAATAATGCTGCTATACACATTCATGTACGAGTTTCTATGTGGACATGTGTTTACATTTCTGTTGTTTATCTACCTAGGACTGGAAATGCTGGGTTATATGGTAATTCTGTTTAACATTTTCAAGAACTGTCAAACTGTTGTCCCCACAGGCTGTACCATTTTACAGTCCCACCAGCAGGATACAAGGGGTCCTATTTCTTTACATCATCAACACATATTTTCTGATTAGAAAATTTGTGTATGTTCTTTGGAGAAATGTCTCTTCAAGTGCTTTTCTACTTTTTAAATGTTATTAAGAGGTTTCTTTGCTATTAAGAGCTCTTTAAAGGCATGTTAAATCCTTGTTATATTTATGATTTGTGTATATTTTCTCCTATTCTGTAGGTTATCTTTTTATGTTCTTAATAACGTCCTTTAATGAGCAACAGCTTTTGGTTTTTTATCTTTACCTGAGGTTTGCTTCCATTGCTCTTTCAGAGATAGTGGGAGAGAGAGAAACATCAGCGTGAGAGACACATCGATTGGCTGCCTCCTGCACGTGCCCCGAATGACCCGGGTGAGCCTGCAACCGAGGCAAGTGTGTGCCCTTGGCAGGAATTGAACCTGGAGCCCTTCGGTCTGGCGTCCGATGCTTTAACCACTGAGCAAAACCAGCTAGGGCAAAAGCTTTTAATTTAATAAATTACAATTTACTTTCCTTGTTATTTGTGCTTTTAATGTCAAATCTAAGAATCCATTACCAAACCTGAGGCCATGAAGATTTACCCCTATGTTTTCTTCTAATAGTTTTTCCTCTTATACTTAGGTCTTTGATCCATTTTCCGTTAATTTTTGTGTATGAGTAAGAGGTCAAAATTCATTTGTTTGTGGACACCCAGTTGTCTCAGTGCCTTTTGTCAAAGAGACTATTCTTTTTTCATTGAATAGTGTTATATGCTGAATTGTGTCTCCCAAAAAGATTAACCCACAGAACCGCCGAATGTGACCTTATTTGGAAATAGGGTGATTGCAGAGGTAACTAGTTAAGATGTCATACTGGAGTAGGGTGAGCCTTTAATTCAGTATCACAGATACACAGAGGGATGATGGCCATGAAATGACAGAGATGGGAGTGATGCAGCTGCAAGCCAGAGTGCCAAGGATTGATGGCTACCACTGGAAGCCAGGAAAAGCCAAGAAGTTCCCCCTACAGGTTTCAGAGGGAGGACGGCCCTTCAGACACCAATTTATAGCCCCCCAAACTGTGCAACAATCAAGTTCTGTTGTTTTACATCTCCATTTTGTGGTACTTTGTTAAGACAGCTTTAGGAAATAGTGTTGGCACCGAGGTTGAAAATCAATTGACCATAATGTCCCGGACTGGTCTTCGTGTTTGTACGCCAGCACCACACTTCTAAGTATGGAAGCTTTGCATTAGGTTTTGAAATTGGATGAAGATTTCCAAGTTTACTTTTGTTTTTCAATATTTTGCTAATTAGGGGCCACTTGCAGTTTCATATTAATTTTAGGATCAGACTTTTTATTTTTGCAAAAAAGGCCACTGGAATTTTGATAGAAATTTTGAACCTATAGATTATCTTGAGTCATGACTTCTTAATATTGATTTTCAATCTGCCCTAGTAGGTTTGGCTCAGTGGTTAGAGGGTTGGGCCCACGGACTGAAGGGTCCCGGGTTTGGTTCAGGCCACGGGGGCACATACCTTGGCTGCAGGCTTGATCTGTGGCCTTGGTCAGGGCATTTGCAGGAGGCAGCCAATCGATGTGTCCCTCTCACACCAATGTTTCTCTCTCTCCCTCACTCTCTCTGAAAGGCAATGGAAAAAATGCCCTCAGGTGAGGATCAAAAAAAAACTCTCAATAAAGAAAAAATATTTTTTTAAAAAAGGCTTTCAATCTATAAACATGGGCTGTCTTTCCACTTATTCTTTAATTTCTTTTAAACTATGTTTTGTAGTTTTCAGTGTAGGGGCTTTCACCTCCTTAAGTTTATCCGTTTATTTTCACTTTTATTTATTTATTTTTAAAATGTCTTTATTGATTTCAGAGGAAGGGAGAGGAAGATACACAAAAACATCAATGATGAGAGTCATTGATCAGCTGCCTCCTGCATTCCCCCCACTGGGCAAAACCTGGGCACGTGCCCTGACTGGAAATCAAACCAGGATCGCCTGGATCCTAGGTAGATGCTCAACTGCTGAGCACCGCTGGCCAGGCTCCTTAAATTTATTCTTAAATATTTTATTCTTTTGGATGCTACTGTAAATAGAATCGCTTTCTTAATTTCCTTTACAGATGGCTGGTGTATAGAAAAAACAGCTGATTTTTGTGTATTGCTCCTGTACCCTGCAACTTTGCTTAACTCATTAGCCCTAGTAGGTTTTGTGTGCGTCTCCTATGGGATTTTTTTAATATATAGAATCATGTAACCTTTACAGACAGTTTTTCTTCCTTTCCAGTTCAGATGACTTTAATTTCTTTTTCTTGCCTAACTGCTCTGGCTAGGAGGACTGAGACAGTACAATGTTAAATAACAGTGGCGAAGACTAGAATCTGTCTTGTTCCTCCTAAGGGGAAGCATTGTTTTTCACCAATGAGCATATTAACTGTTTATTTTTGTAAATGCTCTTTATTATGTTTAGGAAGTTCCTTCTATTACTTTGGCTTTATTGTGACAAGATCTTGAATTTTATCAAATGCTTCTTCCCACAGCTATTGAGATTATGTGACGGCCCCCCCCCCGTCGGGTCATTCTATTAATGGGTGTATTACATTGACTTTATGTTGAAGCGCCCTTGCATTCTTGAGATAAATCCTACCTGGTCGTGATGTGTAATACTTATGAGCTATTGGATTCTGTTAGTTTTCTTGTGATACCTTTGTCTGGTTTTGGTATCTTGGTAATACTGGCCTCATAGAAGATGTCAGGAAGTGTTTTCCCTCATCTTGTCTTTTTGAAAGAGTTTGAATAGGATTAATGTTAACTCCTTAAATATTTTAGAATTCGTCAGACCTGTGTGACTTTGGATTAGGCAGTGATTTCTTAGATATGACAACCAAGGCATAGCAACCAAAGAAAAAATAACTTGAACTCTCATCAAAATGATTTTGTGTCAAAGGACAGCATCAAGAAAAGTAAAAAGACAAAACTAAAAGAGAGAAAATATTTGCAAATCATCTGAGTCACATATTTAACTATATAAAGAACTTTCACAACTCAACAGTAAAATAATAACTTAATTAAAAATGGGCAAAGGATTTGCATAGAATAAAAATGTTTAAAACTGTTGGAAGTGGTTGCCTCTGGGGAGTGGAAATGGTGAGGTGGGTATATGAATTAGAGGGGACAAGCGATTGTGCACAGTAAGAACTATTTGGCTCTACACCAGTAATTCTCAATAGGGCATGAATTTGCCCCTCAGAGGACATTTGACTATCTGAATACATTAAAAATTTTAATTTTTTTCAATTACAATTCACATTCAATATTATTTTTATTTTATATTTATTTCAGGTGTACAACATAATTTATGAAGTGATCCCCTGATGATTCTAGTACTCACATGGCACCGTACATAGTCATTACAATATTATTGACTATATTCCCTATGTTGAACTTCACTGAATACATTTTTTTAAAAGATATTTTTCCCTTTAATGGTTAAATACTGGTTACTTTATTTTTATTTTTTTAATATACTTGTATTGATTTCAGAGAGAGGAAGGGAGAGGGAGAGAGAGAGAGAAACATCAATGATGAGAGAGTCATTGATCAACTGCCTCCTGCCCTCTATAGGGATCGAGCCTGTAACCCGGGCATGTGCCCTGACCAGGAATTGAACTGCAATCTCCTGGATCCTAGGTCGATGATCAACGGCTGAGCCATGCCTGTTTGGGCTGAATACGTTTTTGATTGTCACTAAGGGGTGCTAAACATCCTACAATGCACAGGATAATCCCCAAAACCAATGGTCCAAAATGTCAATAGTGCTGAGGTTGAGAAACTGTCTAAACTATGTGAAACTCTGATAGAAAAACATCCTAGTAATTGAGTTGCCAGAAATACTGCTTAAAAAAATAAAAATCAAGCATTTACTTCTCATTTCCCTGAACTTCATCTACCAGGATAAAACATTCTAGCATAGGGGTTCATGAGGCAATAGTTAAATTGACCAGAATTTTCTAACTCAAAGCTCCAGAAAGCAAAGTTGATACGAGTGCTATGTTGTCTTTCTATAGGTAGCATGGACATTACCACTTTTCTAACATTAATATCAATAACACACATCAGTGTTTATCGAATCTTTAGAAAAATACTAACTCCCAGTATGTTAGTCAAGGGCCAAGACTAAGACTTACCATCCTGCTTATCACAAGACCTGAATCTACATCCCCACTGCGCAGTGTTCTATCCTGAAGCTTGTTTTCACGCTTCTCCAGCACAGTCAGTGCTCTGCCTCGAGTGCAGCAGGAACAGGCAGCTCTGGAATGGCCCTGGCCTACCCGCTCCAGCCGCCACACAAGTTATGCTCCAGATTTGGCAGCTAAGTAACTGGTGGAATCAGGTCTAGAATCCATTTCTGCTCGTTATGGTTAGTATTCTGTCTTAAATTGATATATTCTGTAGCTAAATGATTAAAACCAAACCCTTCCTTCATTAAAAAAAAAAAGCACTAAAAATTACTTTAATATATCAGCTTTAAGCACTAGAAACTCTTCCAAGAATAGCCATTTATACTGTTCAATCGCTCACAATACAGTGGATAGTAACATTATACAGGGGGTTGTATCAAAAATTCCCGAAACCCAATTGTATTTTTATCATCTACTAAGAGACACTATTAAATATAAAAACAGAAAAGAAACAAAAGCTTTGGAAAAGGTAGACTTTTAATAACTGCTTTTATCACCAGGTTAAGTCATGCAGTTACAAAGTAGTTAGAAATTTCTGACAGGATATTATTGTTAAAAAAAGAAAAAAGCTCATTCTTACATAAATAATATCTAGCACTTCATTGGGACACCACTGTTCAAAAGGCCCTGGCAAAACACACACACTCAGTTCCAGGCTGCGTTCAGGCTGCTGTTAGTGAAGCCGTGCGCAGGATGTGAGGCCCCTGGAAGGGGACACGAAGTCAGGGCGAGTTGGGACATTACTGGCAGTGCTCAGAGCTGCCAGCCAGACTCCAGAGAGGGAGTCCAAGTGCTTTTTTTCTGGGACACTCTACTTGAATTATTGTTCAATCAGTCAGCACAATAGATTTTGAAAAGAAAAGAGCAATTAATTAACATGAGGAGGTTACTGCATTCTTTGGACTATATGTCATAATTGTGGTTAGTAAATTCCGACAGCCTCCATCATTTGCTAGTGAATGATATGTATGAAGATAACATTCTCCACTGGGCTTTTTTTGTTTAACAATATACTATTGATAAGCTATAAATGAAACTGTTATAAAAATACTAGCTTTTTTCATTCATTATGTTTATAGGCATTCACTGCTTGAGTCAAGGTTAGGCTTATTAAGTGATTAAAGGCAATTTTATTACAGCAGCATGTACTTATTTTATTCTAAAAGAATAAAATGCATAAAAAGAAATAGCTTTTATTTTTGTTGCAGTCTACAGAATTGAGTTCTTTTGCTGATATAAAATATCAGTAACTTACTTGAGGACCATGCTACCTTCTGAAAATGCCACACACGTGCTTCTTAAACGTGTCAAAGTTACAGCACGTCTTAGGCTTGGCCAGAGCTGAAGCAGCAAATAACCAACTGCTCTTGGACTACAGGTACCTTCCTGGCCAAGCTCTGAGTGCAGGGAGGCAGCCGGGTAGCAAGGTGGTGCAGCCAGATAGAAGGGACTTGTTATTTAAAGGCAAAACACCCAAATGGCTCTCTGGCATCTACTTTCAGCTTTGTACACCAATCCCTAACTTTAATTTTTTTCTTAAGGGGCTGATTTGGATTGACCTGTGAGAATGTTGTCCATTATCTAATAAGTAATGAGAGAAAGATGTGTGGTTACATGTAAACTTGCGATAGGTCTACAGATGAGGAGGTGAGGAGGGTAGTGAAGAAGTCAGCTGCAGTCCATCTATGTGAAGGTCACGCCGGCTTCATTGTACACCTTGAAGACTTTCTCAATGGCATTGACATAGGCAGCTGTTCTCAGGTCCAGTCCCAGGTTATACTTCATGGCTGTGCGCATGATTTGCTGAAACGAAATAGAAAACACAGTGAGGACCACCCCCACCTCAGCATCTGGCCGTGAACACACATGGCACATATGGGACTGGTATGAGGTACCTGTCACCACTTCAGTGCAGGACCTGGGCAGCCAAAGAGAAACTACTCAGGCAGGAGAACCACCTCTAGTCAGAAAGGACTGATTCTCCGGAATTAAACCAACCACTATCTAGGCAGCAGTAAGAAGTTGCTCTTCAGGATTTTAGGGGTGAGCTATCACTGTGTCCTTTAGATGTCCTGCTACCTGGAGTGAATTCATTTGACATACTTTGCGATGATTTACAAGAACTAAGAATGGGGTGAGGAAAATGATCTGCAGTTAGTGGTGGTGGCTACGGAGCTATCTAAGGCTGCTAAATTATCTACTTGAAAAGGGCGAATTTACAGTATGTCAATTATACCTCAAAAAAATTAACAACAAACACCACCTTCTTCTTAATACCTGTTTGTGCTATTTCAACTTAAATCCAAGCAGATACTCTAAACTCAAGAAATTAAAGAAACTGGACTTAAACTGTGTTTAAGGCCTTGAAATAAGAATCACGTGGTCAAAAACCCTTTTATTTATATCAAATTCTATAGTGAGGTAGCTTCCTGTAGCTATACTGAGCATGCACTGAGCTGCAGAACACTTTGGCTGACTACTTGATATTTAGCTAACTGCCAAGCATCACTCTCCCTCCTAACTTGGTATTATTACTTATTTCCATAAGCCTGGTAAACATATACAAGACCCTAAAACATTGCTTATCATTCAACATTAAAAAGAACAGACTGCTGCTCTCCACTGCCGCACACGCTTATGCACAGTCTCGGGGCTGAGCTGATAGCTGGGCTACCCTTCACGTCACGAGCAGAAACAGCAATGTGCACACATACCCTGGCCGAGCGCTCCATCGTGTAAGCTAGGCCAGAGTGCACGATGTCTTTCTCAGATGCCCCCTATTAGGAAAAAGAACATAAAGTTAATAACACTGCACAAACACATGCTTCACCTATGTGAGCATAAAGGGTTAAGTCAATACACAGCAAGACAGAATTGTAAAGATAGACCTAATTTTTGTAGAATACCTTCACACCTAATCAGGCAGTTGCATTTTAACCATAATTTAGTTTTCATTGTATTTGATAGCAAACAAACACTCATAAAAGTAAGATCTTATACAATAAAACAATGAGCACAGGAAAGCACGAACCAAGAAACATGAAGGCAAGAGATGCTGCCACACCACAGCGCAGGCTCCACCAGTCACGCCGCAGTGCATTAGCATTCAGCAGGAACACACACGGCACAGAAAGGCACCTGCGCCTCCAAGAGCAGCTCTGGGGTAGAATCCTGACGCTATATTCAGCAGTGTCACAACTTTTAAAGCTGGACAAATGTTAGCAGCTCTAATTAACTCCCTAATTCTACTGATGAGGAAAGTTGACCAGAGAAGTTGGCCAAGTTTACCAGTGGTTATTTTTAGAGCTGCAACATAACCCAGGGTCTTCCACCACTAAAAGTCAGCTCATCTCTTTCCTATGCCCATTATCTCTGTGAGTCAGTTTGTTTCAAGAGAGTCCTCTACTTAATTTGTGTTTTGGAACGCTTTCTAGAATTTTAGGACCATTACCTATCACCACCGCTCCTAATATGACACATATAGCTAACAAACACATACCTGATATGCCAGATAAAAACTTAAAAAGCAGGTCACCAATACAAGTTATCTATGCTGAACTTCACCCAATTAACACTCTATTCAATTAAGAAGGTATGTTTCTATAACATCTGTATGAACTAAGAAACATTTCGGTTAAGATTTATTTTGTTCTACCAAGTTAGGAAGAAGAAAAATATCTTGCTTTACAGTGGATACTGCTGTTTCTTTGACTCAGTCACTCATCCACCAAAACATTTATTGAGTATCTACTATATGCCAGGCACTCTTCTACGCACCGGGAACACAGCAGCACATACAATGATGACAATTCTCTGTTCTCATGGAGTTTATTTTCTGGTGGGAAGAGGCACTTGGACTTAAAACCATGAGGATGAGTGAGAGCACCGAAATTGAATTCAGACAGAGAACTGGCTCAGGAACCAAGTCCCTCCCAATGTTAAGTGAGTGGAGAGCTGACAAGGATAAGCAAAAGGCGACGAGAAGGAACAGCTAGTGAAGTAGGGAGAAACCAGGTGAGTGCGGTATCTGGAAGGTAAGAGAAGAAAATATTCCAGGGCGAAGGCAGCTCTGTGACAACAGCTGCAGACAGAAGGAAGACAAGGACTGAGAACAGCCACTGGGTTTGGTGGTGCTGGTGTCACTGGTGACCTTGACAACAACAGTCTTGGTGGAGTGATGGGTATAAGAGTAGGTTCGATTACAGAAGAACTGGACACAGAGTATATATAGCTCTTAACGAGGCTTGCCATACGGGGAACAAAGATGGCAAGACCTGGAAGAGGAAGTGGGATTAAGACTTACATACTTTTAAAACAGCATTTGGTACACTGATAGAAGTGACTGCACAGAGGGAGGGTTGATGCAGACGAGAAGGGAAGGTCTACTTGAGTTGTGCATTTGGTAGGTTGAAAATGGGCCACCCAATACCCAGAGCAAGGCTTGGACTTAGATGGAAGTATAGAGGGTTGCTCTGTAACAAAGGAAGAGATGACACAGACAGGATACGGATGCCAGGAGCTGGGTACATGGGGAAATTCTCTCATTGCTTCAGTTTTCTCTGTGAGCATATACCACGGCATAAGCTGGAGTATAGGAGAGGGAGGAGAAAATAGGATGCTCATTCAAGAGAATGAGAAAATAAATGGAACAGGGGAAAGCAGTATCATTGCTGGGCAGCTCTAAGAGCCTGCTCGAGGCTAGTGGTTAGGATCTGAGCAGTCCCTGGGCCTCCAGACACAGGGGCATGGGCATGCAGGCAGGGGGCAGAGGTCTGGACTGTATCAGGGCTCAGGTGTTAACAAAGGGGGGTGTGATGACAGAACATGGAATTTAAGTTAGATACGGAGAAAACTGAGGACATTAGGGGGTAATAAGGGACAGTGAAAAGATGGTAGGTCCTGGAAGGGCCAGAGTGTGGCTAGGGAAGAGGAAAGTAGAGGGAGGAGCAGGAAAAGAGCTGGTTTTTCAACTGAAACTTTATTACAAGATTCCTACAATAGATAAGAGGTGAGAAATAGCATGAAAGTTTAAAATTAGAAGCATTGCAAGCATTCAAAAACTGAGAGACCAATACATCGGGCAACAATTATTTTAAAAGGAGAAAAAGAAAGTCATCACAGCTGTTGTCCTAACCGGCTGTCCTGTACTCCCTCTGGAGGTTTCCATCTGAGTGACGTGTGCCAGGCAGGTGCTGGGACATGGGGGGACCACTGGGAGGAGCTAGAAACCCATAGAAGAGCAGTGGCAGTGCTGCCAAGGAACTGGGGTTACTTGTGGTGCAAGGATGCAGGCAGCTCTGGCTCGCAGAGGGCACTTTCACGGAAGGTGCAGAGATGTGGTGATACCTAAGCAAGGAGAGGTCAGCGCATTTCCAACAGAGAGGACAGAACCAACAGAGACATGACTCTGGGAAAGAGGTAGATTCATTTAGGGGAACAGTTAGGACCTAGAGTAGCACAAGCATCTTCAAAATAAAACCCTTAATTTTTTCCCCATGTTTCAATCTAGTTCAGCGATTTTCATCCAGGGTGCTGCAAGAATTTTTAAAAACATGCAATACCTAACTAGTCAGGGGCACTGAACTCTTTTCCCTTAGACTGTCAGGTNTTTTAGGAAAAAAAAAAAAAAAAAAAAAAAAAAACAAAAAAAAAAACAACAGTCAACACAATAATAACCGTTCAGTGTGAAAGAATCAAAACTAAACCTTTTTTTTGGTCAGACTGGCACAAAATTTAATATATTTTTTGGTGTGCCGCAGAATTTTAGTAATTAGTTTATGTGTGCCATGAGATGAACACGGTTGAAAACAGCTGAAAGAGTCTTAGGTTATTTTCCATGACTGAATATTTCATTTCATAAGAAGATACATTATAACTAAGCAGGGCAGGAGCACCTTAACAACTCTTCAATTTTTCCAAAGAGCAGCACCAGTCTGCACTGTTCTCAGGTAAAGGCACAACAGTTTCACAGTAGACACGGTGAGTGCAAGACCCATTAACTGTTTATGCTAGTTTAATAGATTAAAGAAACCTTAGTTTAATTTGTATTGTTAAGCAGCTAGGTTAAACATTTTGTCCAGGCCGATTTCCTCTGACTTGCGTTTCACATCTTCGGCCTTTCCCGGTGAGGAAGCTCTTTCTCTTTGTGATGTGTGCGCACTATTAATAGACCCTGTCAATCGCTAATTAACATAAAACACGCTTTTTCATCTATTTTCACTCTTATTCATATCCATATAGTAATTCCAATTTTTATACTTCCAATCTTTACTTTTCATTTCTTTTTATTTCTCTGAAGCATAGAGGAGTTAAATACATATTATTTCTTTGCCACGACACTGGAATCACTGTTGAGTCATCCACATTGTCAAAGTGCAAAAGCAGAAGAGCCATGAGTTACTTACTTTGAACTCTGTGTCTAGAACACAATGAAAGAGGAAGGCACAAAGCACATACCAGTCATATAATTACTTTCATGCTGACTACAACCTGTCAATCCAACCCACCTGGCCCGAGTCTAAGGAGGGCAGGTAGTGTGTGTAAAACGAGACTGTCACAGGCACACTCACCGATATCCTGTCTTGGAACTCTGCTGTGGGCACAACGGGAATAGTTCCACCATGCTTTCCAAATTTTCTTTCCAAACTCTCTTGAACAGACACTATGAAAAGTCAAGAGATGATAAGACAATGCTAGTAGAAAAAAAAAAAAGTAGAACCAAAAGTTGTCCCAAACTAGACTCACAACCCCAAACTAAGAGTTTTAGAAACCTTCAACACCAATGACATGAAAGGTTTAATCATTTAAAAGGATAAAGCACTTGGCCAAATTCCTATATAAATGTGAATTTAGGTCACTGCTCTGTTTCCATAACACCCATTACCAGGGTTTTTCCTTGGCTGTTTAAAAAAAGAAAATGCTGAGGGAAAAGGAACGGAAATAGATGGATCACTTCACCCAGATCCTGAGAGGGCTGAATAAAGGCTCAGTTGGAGGTCTTGGTCTCATTTCAGCTTGTTGAAAATTCTAACGTTAACTCTGGAGCCTACCCTTGTCCAGGGAAAACAGTACTCTCCATCCAAGACTGAAACATTCTCAATACTAAACAAGCCTTTCCTAAGAGCAACCAGAGGCACCAACAGAAGTTCCCAGTTTAAACTGATACCCTTTCTATTACTAACTTGTAGATTATGTTCTTGGAACATTACATTACAGAACAAACATCTGAATATAAATATATTTGAGAGAGCTAATATATTAATTATCCATAAAGACATTGTGTTTTTTTGGCCTAAGACTCACGAGACAGAATAATATAGTTTTCTGCACTGAAATTAAATTCTTTAGGATTACAAAAAGGAAACTAATCTTAAGTTTAAGCTTTTCCCAGCCTCCTAGCTGGCCTAAAACATTATTTTTGGAGAACAAGATCATCAGAACTTACTGAGCAAGTGGTAATTAGAATCCCTCTCATATTTGAAGGTCAAACGGCCATAACTGACATGATTTAGGTTCTTCAGCCACTCAAAGTAAGACACTGTCACTCCTCCAGCATTTAGGTAGAGATCCTATATTAAAAAATGTGACAAGAAGACATCAAAGATATGAGAAGATGATGGTTGTAAATAAAGCTTACAATAAACATAAGAGCTCAATTTTAATATCAAAGCAGATGAAGCTTCAAATTTTCCAAATGTATCTTAGATAGTATCAAGAACTTCACACTTAAATTTAACAACTCCCATTCCCAATCGAGCTGAGCTGTCTTTTCAACTTTTATTAATCAAGTATTTAATCAACTATGGTTAGAGCCTCTTCTCCACCAAAAAAGTTTTCTGACAAAACTGCTGCCCAATACAATGGATTGGCTTGCCTGGAGTACCTCACCAAAAGAGTAGCATTCCCTCCCACCACCTAAAGGCAGCCTCATTCTGTTAAACTGAATTTTTTAAGTGCTTTCAGCAAAGGGGTTCTTCAAAATGCTCCCTAAATCCACACTAACTTCTGATTTTCAATAACCTTTGGGCATAGACTCCACACTTATCCACGGAAAAACCCAACATGTGTTCCTCATATTAGCTTTGTGAATTAAGCAGCAGGGACATATATACGGTGAAATATATACGGTGAGGATCATAAAAGCCATCTTTAATTTTAAGTTAGAACAGTATTTCTAGCACAATGCACATTTATATAATTAGGTTCTAAAGAAGGCTGAACACTTAAGAAAGAGCGTGAAGTTACAAGAAAACGTTCAGGTGAAAATGGACAGGCTTGTTATACTAACAATCATTCTTCTACTTTACCTTCTGAAAGGCAAACTGACAATGAATTCACTACAGCCTGGGAAACTGATGATCGTCCCTCCAATTCCTTACAAAACCAATTACGATTCCAAGTACATATAAAAATTGGCAATCAGGTGACTTACTGGAATAACCATAATGTTCCTCTCCAGGAAAATCTTATCAGCTTCTGGAGTTGTCGGCCCATTGGCACCTTCAGCAATGATCTGTAAGTCAGGAACATATAGAAATGCCACCACCACCACCAAATCCCCTCCAATGAACTCAAGAGATGTGTACATATGGGCAGGAGGTTGTAGGAAAAAGTAATTTGAGTTTAAGTGGCCCTGGCTGGTGTGGCTCGGTAGGTTAGAGGTCATCCTGTACATCAAAAGATTGCAGGTTCGATCCCTGGTTAAGGCACATAAGGAAGGCAACCAATCAACGTTTCTCTCTCACATAGATGTTTCTCTCCTTTCCTCTTTCTAAAATCAGTAATAATAAAAATTAATAAAAGTTATTTTGCTCTAAAGTATATAAAACCACTTTTCACCTTTCTATTTCCATAACTACTTTCTGGAAGTTTGGTTTAAGAGGAAACCCATGGTGATGGTTGCACAACTCTGACTATACTAAAAGCCATTAAACTGTATACTTGGGTGAACTGTATTGTATGGTATGTGTATTATATCCCAATTAAGCTGTAAAAAAAATAAAACAAAAAAAATAGAGGAGACCCAAAACGAGCACTTTTCTATGCCCTTCAATGTCCTCTGCCTTAGTGAGGTTGAACCTAGTCTCCATTCTGCTTTTACCTTGGCTTTGATTCTGGGTGCATTGGACTTGGTCAGTTGCTTCTCACTGGCAGCAGGGATCAGTATGTCACAGTCGGCTTCTAAGATGCTCCCTTCATAAAGCTTTGCCTTGGGGAAGCCCAGGATTGACCCATGTTGCTGTACAGATTGAACATCAGAATTAATGGCTGCACGAGAGTTTAAATGCTTAAGTTTAGTGCCTAATGATAGGAAGACAAAGTTATCTTTAAAGTTACATTTTAAAAAATAAGCAATGGAAATAGATTTAAATAAAACTTATTGCAACGTTACAATATTCAGGGAAGTTAAACTGCTCAGATATTAGCTAACATACCAATTTGAAGTCTTCCAGTTCCTTTGGGTCAATACCATCTGGATTCCATATGCTCCCATCAGATTCACCAACACCAACACATTTAGCACCGAAGCGATGCAAATACCTCATAGAATGCAGGCCCACATTACCAAACCCCTGTAAAGAACAATTCCGTATGACACAAAAAACAAATTCCTACTACAGATAGATGGTAAGAGTCATACTCTGAGGAATGCATCTAGACATTGTTAGAAGCAATTCTCAAAATCCTTTTTGTCTAAAGAAACAATGGACTAAATGGATTCTCTTCAACAATAAATTTCTATGTTTAACATGTGGAGCCCAACCCTTTGTTTTCTGTTGATAACAAGACCTGAAGTAGTTTAGTTAGGTGCAGCCTTGTTGACTTATAGAGAAATGACAGTGGTGTTAACCATACCACCCCAGTCCTAATTGGAAGTCACTAATTGGAAGGAATATGAATTCTATTTTAAAGTAGCACTTAACTTACTTAATTCATCTAAGTAAAATAATCAAATACCAAACCAATTCTTTCTGTATACCCTTAATAGTTTAAGAGACTTCCCCTTCTGGAAACAAGTTTCAATTTAAACACTGATCAAAAGAAGTTGGTGATAGTTTCATATGTATTTGAGAGATACTTAAATCGCTTCTAGTCACATGAATCATACCAAGGCTAAAACAATAAAGGATGTAATACTCTGAACACAACCATTTTAAAACTTCAGAGATTCTAAATTTTAAAAATTGCAAATCTAAAAACATAAAAAAACTTACTTTATATATATATGTGTGTGTGTGTATATATTGTGTACACACACACACACACACACACACATATATGTATTAGTTATTCTTTAAGAAACAGAAACTTTTACCTGAACAACAAATGTTTTATCTCCAAATCCTGGTGTCATTCCTAAAATGCTCATGTAAGAAGCTTCATTGATGAAGTTTTCAATCCCATGGAAAACTCCCCGGCCAGTAGCAGAGATCCGTCCGTGGATCCCACCCTGACTGATGGGTTTACCAGTGACACAAGCATGGGCATTAATATCCTGCAAGAGAAAGCCAAAACTTCAAAGATGAAACCTCAAGGAGAATTTCATATGCTGAACCAATGGAATGAAGGATTAAAGCCAAAATATGTTCTTATTTAACTAATATATGCTCATTAGGAGTTATGTGTGTCATCAAAAGGCACATGACTCACTTTTTCAAATTTCTGTTCCTAGAAAATGTGCAAAAGTAGACTATATTTTCCAGTGGGAGAAACAGGGCATTTACGAATTTAACATTAAATACATACAAGAAACAAAGTCACAAAAATAGAGATAGCTCAGCTTAAAAGTGTTATTCCTTTAACAAATACGTAAGCCCTACTAAGTCAGGGTATATCCAACCCTTTTACTGTTTTAAAATCTAATGTTAAGACTTGAGTATGTCACCAAAACAGAGCTTAAGACAGGAAGAGGCATTATGGTGTTCTTGAAAGGGCAGACTCCATGTTGTAAAGATATTTTTCTGTCAAACTAATCTACAAATTCAATAAAACGCCACTTTAAAAAAGAACTTAAAACTCAAGTTCACCTTTAAAAAACTGGGTCAGCAAAAGGACTCAAGGAAAACAAAAGACAACAAAATAATTCGGGGCAATATGGAATATTTACTAAAATAAGAATACCCACTAACCCAGAAATTCTACTGAGAGAAATTCAATTTTCTTGTATATTCAGTACGGTATCATTTAGGTTTTAAAAAAACATACATGTGGGTAAGGCACAGAGGTTCCTACTATGTGTGAACAGAGTACCTCTGGCATCAGTGGTTCACTTTGGGAAGTGAAGTGGGAGGGAGGTCTTCACCGCCACCTTTCTGCACACCGAACTGATGTGCATGTCTTCTTGTTCAGAAACAAGTATAATTAGAAAAAAGATGAAAGGGCTTGGGAGGGCTTCCCTTCCAAGGTAGCAAACATATTATAAACTGTACCACACAGTGCAGAGTAGACAAATTGATTAGTGAGACAGAAGAAACTAGATAGCCCTGTTATATTTCGAAAAGCATTTTACATCATGGCTAAAGTATACACTACTTAACAAACTTAAAGCACTTTGCTACCCATGTGAAACAAGATAAAGTGCTTCACTTCACAACTTACCCCCTACCGCCCAATAGATATCCTAGTGAGGTGAGTTAAAAAGGGATTTGGTGTTTTCTGTATTGTTTAAATATTTTTACAGAGAGAGCTGAGAACTGTATTACTCATCTAACTGCCAACAAAAAGAATAAAATTAATTTTTTTAAAAAAAGCAGTCTAATGAAGTGATTTACAGAATTAGTAGTTTCCCAGTTTTTCCCACGAATACTTAACACTTATGAATACAGAATTGCAAACCTAGTGCCAACTGCTTTAAACAGTGGAAATGCAAATGCTGGAGCTGACAGGTCATGTGTGGCCGCCAGCCACAGGCCCCCAGCCCCCAGCATATCTAATTTTCCTGGGAGCCCCAGGAGGAGAGCGTACTCTTCCTCCAACACTGGCTCTTCCAGGTGAGGCTACACAAAAGGAGCTGCACGGTTTAGGTTCACGTCTGAAAATACATAACAAGAACTACGGCTTCCTTACCTAAGTCCTGATTTTGACTTTCCTATCATTTTAAGAAGGAAAAGCTTTTTATCAGAACAGTTGAGGTTTTAGCTGGCAGCACCTCACAAACCACTCTTTTGCTGTCACCACTGAGAATGAGCTATGACTGACGATATACTGCCCTGTACTCTTCAGTCTAGTGTCTTGCTTAAAAAGAACAAAAGAACAAGAGACCATGCCCAGAGCTCATCAGGTGACGTGGAAAAAACATCCTTTTTGGGAATGACAGTCAAAACCAAAATTCTTTGCAGTGCCTCATACTGCTCCTGTTGTATTTCAGGGGATCTGTGAGACTGACCTGATGCGGTACTTTATTTTTTGTGCTAAGGGCATTATATTATTATTCATTTAGTTCTCATGGCCGTCTCATGAAGTAAGTACTATTCTTATTGCCATTTTACACATGAGGAAACTGAGGCACTTGACACAGGTGAGAGCTGGGTGCGAAGGACCCAGTTCCGGAATCCAGGTGGCATCCATGCTCCCCACTAGACAGCACCACACAGGAAGTGAGACTGATCTCTATGGACACCACAGCCCCTTCCTCTCTGAGGGAGAACTAGTCCTCTCCTCTCCAAGGCTGATCATTCGAGGCATTCTGGCTCCATCAGAAGACTGCTGCGTCTGCCACGCTGTGTGTCTGACAAGGCGTGTCTTCTACCACAAAATCTGTGGTCTAAGAACTGATCAACGTGCCGAATGAACAAAAGTCTTTCTCTTGGGACAACAGCCATCTTCCCAGTTGTCTTCTGTTTTTCTTCAAGTGGAGACTACTCTTTACGCCCTACTTCCCCTCCCGACTGCCCTGCTTCTGCAGCGGCTCCCCTGCCTCCGTCCCTCCCTCAACACCCTCAATATGGGCCTCCAGTGCTTCTCATTCTTTTTAGCTGACTCTTCAATCTGCCCGTTTCTCTCCAATGCTAGGGCAGGCTAACGTCACCTCTTTTTCTGGGCTCCTTACAGGCTCCTGCCCCCCAACAATCCCATTCTCTGCCACACACAGAGCAAAGCTTAAAAGGCATACTTAGCTGTGTCACACACCTGCTCACAATTAGTGCTTCATTGGTTCCCCTCTGTTTACAGGACAAAGACCAAAGTCCTGTTGTCACCTACAGGGCAACAATCTGGCCTGACCCTCCTTTGCCCGCCTCTCTTAGGCCTACAATCTCAATCTCTACTCTGGTCACCACGGTCCTCTCTCAAGTTCACCCTCTTTTGCATGAGATCCTCCACCCAGGCGCTTCCTTCTGCTTCTAACCCTTGCCCCACCTTACTCTAGTTGATGTCTACTCATTGTCTCCAGAGAGTGGGCCGGGTCCCCATTCTTTTTCCTGTGGCATTGGGACTCCTAGCCTTTACCCCACTACACTGTGCATGCGGGGAGGCACTCCACACATATTTTAAGTGTCTTTTTCAACTCCCTTTCTCTTCCTCCTCCTTAAGTGTTTGCTTTTCAGGGTTCAATCCCTTTAGGGACAGGAAGTTAGTTTTTCTTATGTTCTGCCCTAGTGGCAGCACTTCTGCTCAAGTCCTTCTGGTTCTCTCCAACTTAACACTGTCCTTTCCCGTGATCCCAGGCATCTCATCCAGTTCTATCAAGTCTATTTCTGCCAGATGCCAATGCCTCTCCCCAACCCCTGGGAAGGAGGTTATCTCTTTGCTGGTAGAGCATAACACTGCCTTCAGTCCACCCTCCACTAAGGAAGAGTCAGTGTCAAAGGCTCCCATTTGACCAGCAGTTGTAAAACAGAAACACCAGTGTTTAATATTTTTGTCCTAGCCTTCTTACCTTTACATTCTCTTATAACCTTTCTAACTATGCCTTACCTTCAAACAATCTGAGCTCTACTGTTTCTCCTCCAACCTCCCCAAATCCTCCCTATGTTCAAATTTTACCCATTTTCAAGGTCTAGTCCAAATACTTCTTCCAGGAAATCTTGTTTTAGAAACCGTAGGGGGCGTGCAGGAGGCAGCTGATCAATGATTCTCTCTCATCATTGATTTTCTATCCCTCCCTCCTTCTCCCTTCCTCTCTCTGAAATCAATCAATAAAAAAATATATGTATTAAAAAACACCCACAAAAACAAAAAGAATAGAACAGAAGTAAAATAACATGTAAATCAAGGCATGATTAAAGGGGAGGAGAAAACCCCAGTGAAGTCTTTACTTTCATACATAACACAAATTGTTACTTCTTGTAGATAGCAAACAAAGCCCTTGGGCCTTTGGGTGGGTACTCACATAGTGCCCTATGGTGCTAGCATAGGTGTCAGCAATCCAGGACATCTCCCGCTCGCCTGTGCTCATGTCTGGGGCAGGTACATCAATGCCCGGACCTGGGGGCACAGGGAAAGGGCATCGCACCAGTTTTGAAGATGAACTCATCTCAAACACAAGGATCCTTATGATTCTCTGTAACAAAGCTATAGTGGCTAGGAAACTTTAGATTTCATTTAGGTAACTAATTGAAGTCACAGAAATACTTATTAAATGTTTCACTATCAAACTTATACACCCATAATGTTACATGGAAATTTCTCCCACTCGCATTTACTTGGAAAATAGCTATATACAGATATAAGCCACTCAATAGGACTCTGTATGTGCAAGCATAGGCAAATCAATTCAGCCTCTTGGATCCAGTTCCTTAAACTGCAGCCAGAGATAATGATACCATTGCGCTCTGATGAAGAGGATTGTTGTGGTAAGAAAGTATATGTGTATCAGACAGTGCAGTAACACACCGTTTACTGGGGTATAAGACCTCCTCAGCAAATAGAAGAAGGAAAAATAAAGACACATTGCTGAAGCAATTGTATGAAGCCCCCTATTACTTTTACCCGTGATGGAATGCTGCTTTGACTTTTATTCAGTGTACATAAAAGTTTTAGGCCTTGGCGTTCAATTACTCAGATCACACTAAACAAAAAATTGGAGAATCACAAGTTAGTTCAAAAGCAGCAATAAGTACCAATGACAACACACTATTGATGGTCACGGTGAGATTCAGATACAAATGTCTTAAATGATGCTCACTCAAATCCATAAAGGCAGAACCATGTAGAAATACTTCTATCAAAAAAAGTGAGAATAAGAGGATGATCTACACCCATGTAAATGACTTGGCACCATCACCAAAACAGACATGAGGGAAAATGCAGGTTTCATACACTATGCATGTGTGCATATATATATCTATATCTATATCTATATATAGATATATATATCTATATATATCNTATGCATGTGTGCATATATATATCTATATCTATATATATATCTATATATAGATATAGATATATATATCTATATATATCTCTATATATATATATCTATATCTAAGTATGCAGACTTCCATGTGCATATATGTGTGTAGAGTTTGGAAACATATGCACAAACTTGTTCACTGTTTGGATTTCAGCCTTGTTTATAGCTTTCTATGTTGTTTTAATTGTATAATACAAACTCATTTTCTTTATAAAAAGAAAAACACAACTTTAAAAATGGTTAAACTGTTAAGTTTCCCCAAAATAAAGATCGTTCTAAGAACTGTACTCAAGTTCTTTCTATAATTTTTACTTTTAAACCAGCAATATAAGGTACATTTTAATATCTTCTACATTTCAGGACCAAGGTCCTAGACACTGTCCTTTTTTGTACAAGTTAGGATGCCAGGGATATAGATATGGATATAAGACAACTTTGAAATAATCACGGTTTGCTTTTCTCACTCCACCCTCCTCCCCAACTCAATCTGGAACTCTATGCCCTGGTACCTTTTTTAAGGCATCTTATAAATCTCATGAAGTCTAAGACCCTCCCCCCATGGAAGAAGTAATGCTATATTCTAGCCACACTCTCTGACAAAAGGGCCATACAGGACACATTAGGTTATTGTAAGGGTTTTTTTCAAAGTTTACAAAGTAAACTGTTGTAAACTTAAGAGTTTATAAAGATGAATCTAAATTTACACAACAGAATTAATGCTAACCTTTCACAAATTAGAAAAATAAAAGAGGAAAGAGTATTTGACTCATTCTATTAGCCACTATTATCCTGATATCAAAGATCTCACAAGAAAAGAATCCTGCAGACCAATATTCCTTAGAACAGCATCAAAAAGAATAAAATAACCCCAGCTGACGTTTTTGCAGAAATTGAAAAGCTGACCCAATGTGAGACGGTCAGGACTCAGACTCAGGTTACAACTGCAACCTGAAACTCTCTGTGGAAAGGGAAGTGAGGAAATAACAGAGAAATAACAGCAATTCCACAGGCGTGCCCAGGACTAGCTCTGTGGCCTGGAGAGACAGACTTCTAGGCCTGGAGGTCTGGTCTGGTTGCACTGTGGGTTACCGCGGAACGAGGCTTTTGCACATAAGAAGTCAAATTGCTAATACTTAAGCTCAGTGTTTCGATGACTCACTTTTTTTTCAAATCCTCACCCGAGGATATTTTCTCCATTGCTTTTCAGAGAGAGTGGAAGGGGGGGAGAGAGAGAGGAGAGAG